ATGTTTTTTTTTACCAAACATGATTGCATGCTGAAAAAAGTTTAATATAAATATTTAATAATTAAGTTTTTATAAAAATAAATAAAAAAAAATAATATAAAGGATATATACTTTTAAATGAAAATGAAGCAATATAATCATTTCACCATCACATGGTTGAAAAAAGGCATTCTTAATGTTATTGTAAAGAATATCAACTTTATCGCCTCTAACCGAAGTATAACGAAATCCATTTACATGTGCTTCTAATCCTCCTGTCATTCTCTTTGAAACAATATTTGGTCGAATGTATAAATCTTTTAATTTTGGATTACCCTTATTTTGAGATAGTATCAAAGTATCTTGTTTTACAAGATCTTCCTTTTCTCTTTCTTCTGCCTCTCTATTTTTAAATTTTTTTTGAACTTCTTTGATTAATCTAAAAGCTGTATTTAAATTAGAAGACGGTGCTGAAATTTCACCAGGTTCTTTGGTATTTGTACTTCGATATGTTCTAAAAAATAATAATGTCATTGTAAATATTGTAAAATCATAAAAATATTGTAAAATCAAAAAATTGTAAATATCATAATAAATGATAAAAAGTCTAACAAAATAATATACTAACACTTCTTTTACAAATGTAGCATCAGGTTGTGGATAAGATCCTCCTTCATTTCGACCCATTGTGGCACCAGGATGAAAAAAATTTATTCGGAGATATGTATAATCTCCTTCTACCGACTGTGAAATATTTTTAATTGTGGATATATGAAAAGGTACAGGAATTCCAAAAATAGGGAGAATTACAGTTTCATATTTTTTATCTGAAATATGAACATGCAATGTAATATAATACATATATAAAAATTAATTTACATAAAAATACTTACCAACATATAATTTCAGTTCTTTTACTTCTGGTTCTCGTGGCATATGACTTAGACTTTTATATGATATGGTTGATTTCCGTATTTTTTCTTGTTCTTTTCCACCAGACTGTTGTGCCAATCGAGCTTTTGCAACTTCATTTAATTGTTGTGCTAATTCTTTTTGATGTTGTTTTCTTTTTTCTTCAGAACTATGTTCTGTTCTTAATTTAGATTCTATTACAGCTGTTCTTTTTCCACGACCAAGAATCTCAGGTTTAGGTTCATTTTCTTTTCCACTTCCTTCTTCCTCTTCTTCTTCTTCATCCTTAACAAATATTCCAATATTTTTTACTTTTTTCTTTGATGGTGTCAAATTTGTAGCAGGTTGTCCCTAAAATAAACATATCATTTCAATTTGCATTTTTCAACATATTTATAAAAAAAATATATAACAATTTAAATCCAACATAAACAATATAACATAACATAATACCTCATTAATCATAACTGTGTCACCAATAAAAAGAGCATAAATTTTTCCTTCTTTATCAGTAGCTTCTGAATTAATAAGATTTGCCAATCCAACGTTAACATTAAATACCATGCCTTTTTTTAGTGTTGCATGAATTTTTGGACCAATGAGTAAAGAGCTTTCTCTGAATTCAATACCCATTGCAAATCCAAAATGTTTTGTTAAATGATCTAACATTTCTGGTTTTTCATCTTTTACATATTTAACACCTGTTTCATATACTTCGCTTATTTTCACTCCTGCTACTAATTTTTTTAAAATTTCCTCTTCTAATTGCAAAAGAAAATTATAATTGTCCTAAAAATAAGAACATATTATAAAACAACTAATTTATTATTAATTTATTTTATTTTTTTGTTTACCTCAATAGTTTTAGTAGGATTTACTAATAATGTTCGTACTATATTTGAACAATAAGATTTGTAACGTGCTCCAAGAGAACAGACAATAACACCAAAATGCAAAGTATTCTTATCACTAACAACACTAAACTTTAGAGAATAATTTCCACCACTTTGTATTATCGCAGGATAACACATATCTACTTGAGTAACATCAACACTAGTCACATACTTCTTATTTGTTATAGCTGCATCTACACCTTCTGCAAGCTTTGAATGCTTAACTTTCTAAAATAAAAATAATTATATTAAGTTAAGATGAATTTCAAGATATAAATATTTATATTTTTAAATTTCTAAATAAATAAATAATATATAAATAAAAATCAAATACCTTATCAGAATCTATAATTTCCATAATTTGATCTTTAAGATATTTTGTAAAAACGTCCACAGATACTAAACATGCTTTTTTTACTGTAAGAATTTCAGCATCTTCTTTTGGACACATTACATATGCAGCTGCAGCACTTACATCAATCTAATACATAATGTCATAATCAAATTCTATAATATTATAATATACTTGATATAATACAAAACAACATCATACCGTATCAAAAGATTCTGACTTTAAAGCAGCTCTCCATGCATCCATAAAGGCACCTGGATAATTTTCTTTAGAAAAAACACCCAATGTTTTACCCTTCTTACTTTGTTTTATAATTTCAATAAGTTTGGCAAAATTTGCTTTGTCTTCATCATTCTTGAAAATGAAATTATGATCAATATTAACTAAAATCATATGATTATTTTTAAAAAAATGTAAATTATAAAAATACATACTCTATCTCTCACAAGAAGTTTCACAGGAGGTACTCCAGTTTCTTCCGTTTTCTGATTTTCAAGTTTTCTTAAGAATTCAATCTTTTTTTTGCTAGCCAAAAAACAAATAGATTCTTCTGCTAAGATCATTATAGTATCTGTAAGTTCATAACTCAGGAGCCATGTCTAAAATAATATATCAACATTAATTTTTTATAAACATAAAGATAACAATGTTTTAATAACAAAATAAAAAGTTTTATTTTAATTATATAAGTAAATTTATTTTCTAATTTTAATAATTGCGCGAATTATTTTAAGTTTTACTGTCACAAAATAAAAATATAAATGTTTTTTGAGTCACAAAAATTAGGTTATTTTATCATTACCAAATACGCAATACAAAATACAACACGCAGTATCAATATCTAAGAAAGCATTACTTGCAACGCTGTCGATTTGCTATATACAATATCTTCATCCGTGCCCACAGCGGAGACGAGACAATCCATTTTACTAAAACTGTCATCTGTACCAACTTCTCCATCCTATTTAACAAAAACAATTATTCTTATTTATTAAATAATTATGTTTATTTTTAACGATGAAATAAATCATTATAACTCATTTTACCTTCCACGCCGTATAAAGCCGCTTCATACGCCGAAAGAATGTCTCTTTATCAACAGATACGTTTGCCATGTTGTTTTAAACTCGTTCAGCGTAACACAACACGCGGTTGTATGAAATCAACCACAGCCTACCTAAGTACTAAGTAAGTACTCTATCTATATATATAAAGTAGACTATGAATCAACTCGACATTAAATTATAATAAATCTTTTCAGCTTAAATGATAACGAACAAAACATTCAAATGATAGAAAATGCTATGATATTATCACATTTTCCTTAATATTAAACAAGTATTGCTATTAAAATTCGTTACTCGTTATGAAAGTGGCGGGAATTATAACCAAACTGCAACTGTAATCCACAACTAAAGCACACGGCGGGAACGGTTTAATGCAATATAGTTGGTTGCCAATCAAAGAAAATTCAAACGCTACAAGCGGTCAATTAGTTAACTAATTTTAATATTACTATATATTGGTATAAATCAATTTTAAGCGTTATTATTAAAATATAAATTGAAATAATAAATAATAGTATATTAATACAAAACTATTTTTATTTTTTAAAAAAAAATGTAAATTAGTAAAATAATATAAATGCAAAAATATTTTTAATATAGATATATAAATATTTTTTTAATATAGATTATTTTTTATGATGTTAAAATGTTATTTTATTATTTTCGTCATATATCAATTTATAAAAAATAAATGATCATAAAAAAATATATTTAGTGAAGAATCTTAAGTTTACTTAATCTGTGACTAATAGTAATAAGTATATGCAGCATGTGTACAATAGTACATATAAAATACATGAGATTTATATCAAGGCGTCAAGTAATTTTATACTATAAATAAAACTTTGACTTCGGTAAAATAATATCGTAGAAAATAATTAATTTGAAACAATGGTATAATTTATTATAATTATTTTTTTTTAATAATTATTGTGATTTTATAAAAAGCTATATGATTATAATTCATTGACATTATTGCTTGTTCATGTCGTTTATTAGTGTTACCTTATATGTTATTGAATGAGTGAAAAATATGCATGTGTTATTTAATATAAATATTACTGAAATGATTCAGTAAATAATGTCATATAATTACTATCGTGACTCATTTTAATTAAAATTATATTTACAAATGTAATCGTATTAATATATAGTTATAAAAAATAATGAAAAAAATTCTAAGAAAAAATTTTAATGTAATTGGAGAGAATTATTTGTTTCTTAGTGATTTATTGAATCTAATTTACAAAAATAATAATTATTATTAGTGGTTTTTCATCAAGTGTGTAAAAACACCTATGAAACCCGAAATAGTATAACATATCATGAATGTAAGTACAGATTTTACAACGTTCGTTTAATATAATTTAATATAATCGTAAGATATTTGGTTTGATATATATAAATATCTATTTAGAACAATCTATTTAGAATGTATATATATATATTAATATTAAAATTATTTGTATTAAATTAATAAGTAACTTTTCAAAGAAAATCTCAAAGATTACCTCAAATATTTTAAATATTCTTTATTCATTATTATTTGTGATATATAAAAAAACATTTTAATGAATTCATTTTTCTGGAAATAAATATATAATTAATTATTATAATATAATTCATTTATGAATATTTAAATATTTTTTAATTGAAATTAATAATAATGAATTAAAATATTTATATATTTTCATTAATTTTGTAAAAAAGAAAAAATATTTTAATAATTGTTTCTTCAGAGGTTAATGTTATATAGCTCTTATTAAATATATGATATTTAATAAGTTCATTTGCTTCTTTTATGCAAACTATTTTAAGAATATCTTGTTCTACATTATTCTAGTACTTAGTAGACATGCTTATGTAACTGACATTAGATTATTAGATTATTGACTTGATGAAGTTATTTTCAATGACATCTGAATGTAATTATTTTTAATAGTGCTTTATGATTAATCAGTCTATAGCATTATATGGGACTGATGTATTCAATATGATTATTTATCAAGATTGACAACATAATTTTTAATATAACCTTATTATTACTAATTAATTCTTTTTTATAATATATATTAATGTTTAAAAAAAATTTTTGTTTAATAAATTAATGAATAAAAACAATTATTAATGCTTTTTGAAATAATGCTTAATTTTTTATTTTTTTATTATTTTTAATATAATTTAAATAATTTTTACTTTTATCATATAATTTTTCATTTAGGTGAACAATATAGCAGAGAGGTGGTGTCGGGAAGGTGGTTGACACGCCTTCGTATTTTTGAAATGATTGAAAGTGTATCGCGTAGAGCGTTGAGTGGCTCCAGTGGGAGCTACCACGTTCGTGGAGCTGAATTAGCAAGAAATCGTAGATTAAAATCTCTATCTGCTACTGTTGTCTTTCTTGATGACACACAGCATACATTTCAACTAGATGTAATAATTTATTTTAAACAAAAATGATTTTTAATATTACAATTAATATAATATTTAATATGTAAATATTTAAATATCTTTTAGAAAAGAGCAAAAGGTCAAACATTGTTAGATTTAGTATTCCAACATTTAGAACTTGTTGAAAAAGATTATTTTGGTTTGCAATATGCTGAAAATGGAGTTGCAATATGTACATATTCTCCAGATATAATGGTAAATCTTTTTATTGAATTTATTAAAATTTGAAAAAGTTTATACTAATTAAATAATATTATAAATGGATTTATATTTTAGAGGTGGTTAGATCCTAGCAAACCAGTAAAAAAGCAGATAAGAAGTAAGGGTAAAGATCGTATTTAAACTCATTCACATAGTTAAACGCAAAAAATAAAAGATAATTTAATATTTTATATTGTTTCAGGTGGCCAATTTTATTTTAGAGTTAAATTTTATGTATCTGACCCTAGCAAATTACAAGAAGAATATACTAGATATCAATTTTATTTACAAATACGAAGAGATATTTTACAAGGAAAACTTCAATTATCACCAAGTACAGCATGTCTTATTGCTAGTTATACTGTTCAATGTGAGTATTGAGATAAATTTATATTTTATTATTATATTTTATTTTAGTCTAAAATAAGAATTTTTAGTTTATAATATATTATATTTTTAATCAGCTGAGTTAGGTGATTATCATCCTGAGGAACATGGACCAGGTTATCTTTCTAGATTGCAGTTAATACCTGGTCAAACTGAAGAAATGGAAAAAAAAATAGCTGAACTGCATAAACTTCATAAGTAGGTTAAAGTTAGATTAGTAACATTATTTTGTAATATTAATAATTTAAATTTTATAATACATTATAAATTTTATATAATTATATTAAAAATATCTCTATATTTTTAGAGGCCAATTACCAGCAGATGCAGAATTCAATTTTTTAGATCATGCAAAAAGATTGGATATGTATGGAGTAGAATTACATAAAGCTAGAGTATGTATTCATCTTCTAATTTTTTTTATAAATTTATTAAACAGTTATTTTACTTTAATTTTTCTTTTTTCCTTTTTTAGGATTCAACAAATAAAGAAATACAATTAGGAGTAACATCTATAGGTTTAGTAGTATTCCAAAATGGAATAAAAATTAATGTGTTTTCATGGTCAAAAATAGTTAAAATATCATTTAAACGAAAACAATTTTTTATTCAACTAAGAAGAGAACAGGTATTCTAAACTTTTATAATTAAAAAAATAAAATTTAAATTTCTTTAGGTTCTACAAAGCAATTCTATTGCAGTCAGAAAACTATGATACTTTATTAGGATTTAATATGCAAACGTATCGTAGTTCAAAAAATTTATGGAAAGCATGTGTAGAACATCATACATTTTTTCGACTTCATAGTCCTAAAACAAGACCGAGACGTTTTCCACTTACTTTAAGTAGTAGATTCACGTATTCAGGACGTACAGAATTTCAAACAGTGGAAGATGGAAAACATAGAGCAAGAGTAGAAAGAACGTTTATACGGTAATATTAATTTATTTATTATTAATGTATAATAATATAATAATAATAAAATAATATAAATATAAATATTAATTTAAATTGTTTAGATCTCCAAGTAAAAGATTAGTACATGGAGTAACATCAGTTCCAATTGAAGAGAAAGGAAAATTATCTATACCTCCTGGAAGACCATCTAGACCATATGATAACAAAGTTCAGTCTCTTGGTGCTCGTGAACCTCGTCGAGCATGGGGTGAAGGGAATCCTAGCGATGAGTTCGTTGAAACTAATTTAATATTTTTATATTTTTATATTTTTATATTTAAAATTTTTTATTTTTTATTCCATAGTGAAGGTGGTTTCTTGTCTCTCCGTGAAGAAATAACAAGCTCACATACACAAGGAAATGCATTTTCGCCTGTATTAGGTTCTAGAGTTTTAAGTTATGCTGATGATGATACAACTGCTGAAAGAAACATTTATGATCTTCCTGCTTATAGTGAACCTACAAGTTCACCTGCTCCTCAGGTATTTATTTTTAATCTTTATAAATATTTTTTGTATATATAAATTTGGATATTTTAGATAGTAGAGGATGGATTAGTTACAATATCTTTGACACCAGATGAACAAGGTCGTTTTGGATTTAATGTGAAAGGTGGTTTAGATCTTGATATGCCTATTTTAGTATCAAGAGTAGCTCCAAACACTCCTGCTGATCGTTGTTATCCAAAATTAAATGAAGGCGATCAAGTAATAATTATATATTGTTAAAAATATATTTATTTTTAAATTATTTAATCTAAAATTATTTACTATAAATAAATAAAATAAATTTAAATAGGTAGTGTATATAAATGGAATTGATGTAAGTGGCTTATTACATGAACATGTAGTAAATTTAATTCGTCAATCTCGTGATTCGGGTTCTGGTGAACTGACATTAACTGTTAGACCAAATGCGTTATACAATGCATTAGCTGGTACTGATGAAACATCTGAAGAAGAACCTCCATATAGGTATAGTTTATTTATAAATATTAAAAATAATATTTGATGTACTATATTTGAAATATTATATATAAAACTATATCAATATTATATAATATAATAATATATTATAAAACATAATATTCAATATTTAATTTTATTTTGAAATAATAAGGTATGTTCCGGATGCACCCCATGCAGTTATTGGATCAGATGCATTAGCTCAATCAATGTTGCTTCTTGCTGATGGTCTTGCAAGTGGTGCTTTAATTGCACAATATGAACAATTATATAGAAAAAATCCTGAACTTACATCTCTTGAATCTAAAAAACCTGAAAATCAGAATAAAAATCGATATCGAGATATTTCACCATGTAAGTATAAAAAATAAAAGAAAAATAAAATTATAAAAATTCATATTTAATATAAAGAAAAATTTAAGATATATACAGAGTGTCTCAAAAATATTGGAACATCTGTAAACTAGAGATTCTTAAAGTAATTTCAAGCAATATTTTTCTTTACAAAAACTTATAGCTTTGTTAACGAATTATTAACAAAAATATTGGTTAATTTAAAGTGCGTAATCTAGTCAAGCCGCAATAGTAGAAAATATGTTAAAATATGAGATGTAATATATGAATCTGGATATTTTATCGATAAAAAATTATATCGAATTATATCACGAAAAAAATTAATATTCAATATCTTTTTTGACATATTGCTTGTAGTCGATCGCCGATATATAATCTATTGTCGCGGCTTGACTAGATTACGCGTTTCTTGATTGGCCAGTGTTTTTTGTTAACAAAGTCCTAATGAAAGTTTTTATAAAGGAAAATATTTGAAATTATCTCAG